CCATACGATTCGACTCAAAGCACTGACTTTCACAGCTTCAGCGCCCATCTGACCCTTCGGGCACTTTCCTTTCGACAATTCCAGTTGGGTCATTCCCCCCAGAACAAACAAACTTCTCAGACTGATTTAATCGCATCGTTTTTGCCCTTTTATAGTCTACGTTCCATGGCTTTGATTTGCATAGCAAGCCATTATGGATATCCCCTGCATCTAACTGCCACAAAATGTTTGCATAGAAATTGGGGCCGATATCCATAATAGCTTGTTATGCAAATTACGGTCATGAAATGTAGACTATAAAAAGGCAGTGACGATGCAAGTAAATCAGTTTTAAAAGTCTGTTCGTTCTGAGGTGCACGAACCAGCGGAAATTGTGAAGAGAAAAGTGGCTGAGGAATTGTGAAGAGAAAAGTGGCTGAGGAGGGGGAAGGTTCAAAAGCCAAGGCGGGCATCGAATTGTGTGGATTTGCCCAGGGAAATTAAAAATGCTGCTACAAGTGAATTAGTCGAATCGAGTGAGACGGCACAGGACGTTGTGTGAATATGTGCGCAGCTCAGGCAAATGATCCAAGCAAGGAAGAGGGCGACGGAAAGGAGAGAGTGATCGAAAATGAGAAAGCGAAAAGCTGGCGTTCTTGAGCATTCATTTCCCTTTTTCATCGTAATAAACAATTTCATAAAATAACGAACGGCGGTCGAACGTTCAGGGCCCGGCAAGGGATGATCGAAAATGATAAAGTGAAAGACTAGTCTTCTCGTGCAGTTGTTTTGTTTTCTTTATAATAAATGATTTCAACAAGTACTATACAGTCCTGTGTTATAGTTAGAGCGTGTATTCTGACGACAATGGGATCAAAATTCAGGTTTTAAGTGCGATTCTGAAGATAAAAAGATACCAACAATTTTGCAACTTGGATTTTGACGTACCCTACCGAGTTACGCAGTTATATGTGAAAAATGATCGCATGCTTCTGTTGCCTCACACAATTACGCAATATCTTTATACGTTTTTGCTTATGTGCAAATTGCAAAATCGCATATTAGCAAGAGGTTGTGTGTGTGTGTGTGTGTGTGTGTCTGTGTCATTGCATTTTTTTCGCCCACTTTCAACTCGAAAACCAGAAAAGCTGAAAGGCTAAAACTTTTGAATTGTGTGCCCACAACACGCGCGACCCTCACGTTTTAATATCATCATCTGCCTACTTCTGGGCGCTGCGTACGGACGGCTTTAAAAAATACCCAAATTTTTTGGCGGGTAAGCAATCCCGGGAACCAGACATAAGGGGCTGAATCTTTGCAGGGATATTCTCTGCGTATGTATAAACTAGAGGTTTCAAATTCAGCCTCCAGTTATGCGTGGTGCTCACGTAATGGCGTATGAAAATTTCGGCGGCAAATTTACTAACTCGAGGACCAGAAAAGCTAGAAAGCTGAAATTCTGGAGGAATTTTTCCTATCCAAGTGGAACTTAAACACCCCAAATTCAGCCTTCAGATATGCGTGGCTCTCACGTATGAGCATGTGAAAGATCTGGCGGAAAAATTGTCAATTCGGTGGCCAAAAGGTGGAAGGCTGAAATTTTAGGGACATGTCCCCTGTCCAGGTTAAATATTTCAAATTCAGCCTTCATGTGTGCGTGATCTTCACGTACGGGCACTTAAAAGCTTTGGCGGGAAAATTACTTACTGAACAGCTAGATTATTTTCAAAGAACGACGGTTAAATGGAAATCCTTTATTTACTTTATGAAAAATTTACGATGATTTACGCTAGTGAGCGCAAGGTGTAGGGTAAAGCAACAATTATTCATACAGTTAATGCCCTGAGTACTTCGAGTCTGGTGCAAAAACGCATGATCGCACCGACAAACCTGAGGCGTTTCAGCCTGGGTTCTAAAAAATGAAACGGATGCGCACAGTTTTGCGCATGAATATCTGTGGTATCGAAACGCGAAATTGCAAAAGCTTGTCTCAATCGGTTACGCATAGTAT